GCCGTAACACCCGCCAGGAAGCCGTGGGCCTTCTTGGCCACCTGGGCACACTGCTGGCTCATGTTCAGCCGGCTGTCGACCAACACCCCAAGGTCCTTTTCTGCTGGGCAGCTTTCCAGCTACAGTTCCCCAAGCCTGTAGCGTTGTGTGGGGTTGTTGTGACCCAAGTGCAGGACCCGGCATTTGGCCTTGTTGAACCTCATACAGTTGGCCTTGGCCCATCAATCCAGCCTGTCCAGATCCCTCTGCAGAGCCTTCTTACCCTCAAGCAGATCGACACTCCCACCCAGCTTGGTGTCATAAGCTCGCTGTAGAGCACCAGAAGAAAGTTACTCCCACGTAAACTGAATCCTAGATAACTACGGAGCTGTATCGGTAGAAACCAGCAGCCTGCCGAGGAGCGGGGCTCTTGTGTGCTCATTTACAAACAGTTCTAGCACGCAGAGCGCTATGACGAACTGGGCATGACAGCTGTTCGCTTCCGGCCGCCTTCCCAAAGCCTCGGTGTAAGACCCAGGGAAGTTTGCCAAGGCTTCCACGAACCTCGCGGTGAGTGAGACAACCAATGGGCTGCAGCCGCCTAGTGAAAGCTGATAGGAAAACCTTCCGGGCTTTTCTGCTGTTCTCCCATTTCTAGGGCTAGAAGAGGACATTTGGGCTACCTAATCTGACTTTCATTATATACAAGCTATTTGATTGTACCATGTTTAACCCTAAGGCCTAATGTTTCCATGAACTCCAACTTAAGGCTTGAAGATGACAAGAGACAGCAAGGGCACTAACTGCACCTGCTTTACGGACTAAACATATTGAGCTTGGGTATAAGAAAAGGCTTTAATCTGGCTGGGTTTTTTACAAATTCTATGTGGCCCTCTTTGGTAAGCCTACATGCTAAAATATGCTTGACTTTTGCAAAACAATACCACACACAAAAAAACAAGGACTGCATACATTCCACTGATTAGAGTTTCAGTTTGACCAGGAAGCTGGCTCTGTTCTCTCCCGGCGGCGGCAGAACTGAGCCGTGCTCTGTTCCAGCACTCCCCTCGCCTCCGGGCTGTTCACGCACTCGGCATGGAGCCGTCTCTTCTCCCCACACAGGTACAGGTGCTTTTCTCTGCTGTTTTTCAATGCCCAAGGTACTTGTTCGTAGTAAGAGTTCCAACCTGCACCGCGTTTTCTAACACAGGGGCTGCTCTACCAGCACTGCACTTCCCTAAATTACAAAGGCTGATTTGCTTTCGTGGCTACTCAGATTAGCTGGAACAGGAAAGGCCAAAACCACGCGCCTCCCCCAGCCCCGCACAAGCAGCCCTCGGCTCGGAGCTGGAGCTGTAACTGGGCGAGTGCCAGTGGCTGGGGGCCGTAACTGGGCGAGTGCTGGAGGCCGGGCAGGCTGATGCCCAGCGCTCGGCACTGTCGCGGGGCAGAGCCAGTTGGAGCAATCGGTGGGTACGCGCCACGCGGGCTTTAACCTCTGTTTAGACAAATATAAGCTTACAAAAACCGTCCCCTCTTCCTGTGCCTCACCTTCCCCCAAAGCCGTATTCCTGTGCTTTGCTTGACTGGTAGCTATAGTCAGAAATTAGGCAAACACCAAAATACTCCTTTTTTAATGATGTGGGAGTTTGCACCCTCCCTCCCTATCAGCCAGCCAACCACAATTTTTTTTTTTGCTAGAAAACAGAGCAAAAAGTCCCTCCCGACTTTCACAAACTCCTGAGCAGCTCTGACTGACCCCCCACCCCACCCCACCCCACCCAAAACATTTTGTGCGCGCAGCTTTAAGTGAATTGGGTTCACAATGGAAGCAGCAGGGCTCTGACTCAAAACGAGCGCGCCTGGCCAAGCACCACGTGAAATACAGCCACAGGGAGATGGGGGAATGAAACTTCTGGAGACAGGACAGATTTCCAGCCAAACCACCGTTGAGTTTTCCTCTAACAAATGTCTTTGTGACAAATGGAAACCTCTGGGCAAAAATGAGTATCGCAGGGGCAAGGAAATAAATCCGGCCGCTGCAAGTTGGGGCACTGTCCTCCCCCTCTACCTTTGCTCCTGGGGAAGCTGAACAAAAGGAAGCCTTCGCTCCCCCGGGGGCACCGTGAGACGGCCCTGGGGGCGAGCTGGACCAAGCACGGGCAGTGTCGGCAGCAGCGATTTTCCTCCTCTGGCCAAAGGAGCTGCGGTCCAGCGCTGCGGCAGGTGATGCACCAACACGTCGAGTTATCTGTGCTCCCTGGCCAGGAAACAAGAGTGAGGGACAGAGAAATGTCATCAGGTATTATTTAATGGAATTTCCATCGTTAGCGCTGCACCTTTGCTCTGCTACCGCCCTTCCAGCGCGCGCCAGGACAACACAGCCATACGCGATTTGATTCACTTTCCTGCTTCCGTCACACGCAGACGGAACCGGCATGATCTTCAGAAGTCTGCTGAAGGGAACCGCTGACGTCCACAGCTGTGGAGGCAGAAAGTCTTTAAGAACTGAAATACAGCAGTTTTCCAGCAGTTCTTTATTTATAATGTAGGCTTAAGCAATCATTACAATGTAGAAGGGAGACACACTTACAGCAATTATTTATACCAGTTTAGAACAAAAAACTGCACAGGGAGAGGTCAACTCTCAGTACAAACTAGCAACTAAACCACAATAATTTACCATTAGAAACATTTTATTTTTTAGCTGTGACACTGCTTTTACAATATGCAAAAACACAAACAACAGAACTATCCAAAGTGTTTTGTCACATTCTTTCTACATTGAATTTGGCAACATTTTATATTAAATTTTACTGATTATACTAACGTTTAAGAACTAAACAAGTGAAAAGCTGTACTCGGGTACAGTTACATCCATTTATTTCAAAGGTTTAAATAACACTTTCAGCTACTGAGATTATCTCCTAGCAGTTTTTGTTTATGCAAAAACCATCTCAAAGCCTCATTTGCACAATGCATCAGCTACTGTATCAAGATTGGTGGGCTACACCACAGGCACTACTGTTCATTATATTCTGTAATAAGGAGCTTGTTTTTCAAAGAAAGGAAGGTTTAATATTTTCTAAGAATCATGCCTTTTTTTTTTTCTTTTTGCTTTTAAGCCATAACAAAAAAAAAACAAAGGTTAGAAACCTCAGCAGTGTAAAATGTTATACAGAACACAGCGACTACACAGCTACTAGAAGTTTCACATCCAATGCAGGTCTGTATTAAAGCATAAGAGGTTATGGAGGCAAGCCCAGAGCCAACAGAAATCTGCAGAGCGCGCGGTGGCGACCAGCCCCTTCGGGGGATGGTTTGGCGCGTTTTTGAACAACCCGGGACGCGCGAGCCTGGTGCCCGTCCACGCGTGGGTGGCGGTGGGTGGGCAGGTGGCATCCCTCTGGACCGTCCGGTCGGAACACGCGTCATGCCCTGGGGTCTGCATATTTCTATCAGCTTTAGGAGACGGGTATTGCAGCAATAACTTACTTTAAGGAAAAAATCCAACTCTTAATAATTCTATCAATAGCGTTCCAAAAAACATGACTTAAAGTACAAAAAAAGAGAATATAGTGGTCGGACTCCCAGTATTATCAAAAAAACCAGTATCGCTCCCCACCCCCCACCCTTCACCCCTTTCTTTTCGGTATTTAAGAAAAGCCAATCAACTGCCATTTAAAAGAAGTTAAGAAAAACAAGCCCCTGTATTGGAAAGAAATATTCGCAGTTTATTAGATCACAAGCTGGTTACACCTGTCAGATCGTTTGTTCAGTGTTTTCTCAAAATATTTGGGCTTTCCAAGGTGCCCAGCCTGCTGGGCACAGTCAGAAAAAGGCATTTTGATAATATCTAAGAACTCCCTGCTTGCATTTTAAAAATGTTTTCACATTTGTAACTGCCCTAGGCCTGTCGTCCTTGTTTGTATTCAGTGAAAGGATGAGTGGAACAAAAAGCGGAGGTGGAAGAACCAAGCCCACACAGTTCAGGCTGCATGCATGTGACTGAGAGTTGGTGCTGTGCAGTCAAAAAAGAAATGTGGAAAAAACCCCAGTCTTTAGAACACCCTACAGAAACAAAACACTGCAATCCAGTATGGCTTATTCTGATGCATTTACCATGAAGCTACTAGTAATTAATCCTACTAGGCTACTTTTGTGCAACAGCATCTGCTATTTTGATGGCACCTCCCTCCCCCCACTACCCCCCAAATACTCTACCAACTGCAGGTTTCTTTCTTGCATTATATATTGCTTTTATTGTCAATTTTTATTCCTGTTTTCAAACGTGTTTTTTTTAATACTTAAATGAGGATCTGTTCCTTACAGCTTGACTTAAACTTTAAAGTAAGTCCCATTGTTTTATTTTTCAACCTCACTATCACAAGGCGCTCTACAAAAGCTTGCAAAAAAGCCAAATTTTCATTAAATCCTTTTGCTGAAGTTAACTACTTGACATTTTTTTTCTCCTATGATTTAAAACTTTACAAAGAGAGTTATAAAAAAGGTAAATGGGATTTGGCACCTTCAGAAAAAATTAAAAGTGTAACTTAGATCAAAAAAAAAATGCAGAAACAAAATCATTGATATTTACAAATTAAAACACCAGTGAAGATTATGTCTTACTACGCTCTTTCACCTTGTTTTCTCTTTTAGAGTACTTTCAGACGGTCTGTTACCGAGTATCTTAAAAAACTGATTGATTACAGATTGGAATGGATAGAGACAACCTAGTTTCCTCACAGTTCCTTCTCGGCGGCTAGTACTCTGGCAGCTTTCCCACTCCTAGGAAATACGAGGTGCTGAGCGATCGTTTGTGGTCGTCTTCTTCAGTTTGACCCCACGCCGAATGGCGTTCAGCATATCTTCACCTTGCGGGACATCCCCGGGACTCAGCTCTCCGGGATCGAGCTCCGGCTGGCCCGCGGGCGCGAGGGTGCCGACGCCATCCCGGTCGCTTTCTTCCCCCTCGCTCTCGGGAACCGCTTGCCTCTGCTCGTCGGCAGCGCTCAGTTTCTGGCTTGACGGCGGAGGGTTGACAGACGCTTGTCCGCTCCACGAGGATGAGGGCATGCTGGCGACACCCTGCCCACCATCTCCTGCTGCCGGCGACTCGGGACTTTGCTCGGGACATTCTTCTGTCCCAGCGAGGGCGCCGGGCAGCCCCCCTGGGATATCGGGGACAGTCGGTGTTTTGACAGGAATCACTGGCGTCTTGATCGGAATCGGACCTCCCCCGATGGTGCCGCGTCTGACTGAAGGCTTGGTGGAAGGGGTCCGTCGGATGGTGGCGACGCCGGGGGTGACTATGACCGGTCCAAGGGTGGTTGGCAGACCTGCGGTGGAAGCAGGACGCTTGGTTTGAAACATTCTGCGATAGGACTGGCTAATGTCGCTGTTTCTCGGGATGGTGGAGGATTTGTCAAACTCTTGTTGTTCTGCCTCCTGGTCACCACTCACAGAGAAATAATCATAATCTGAAACTGATGCCGAAAGACAGAGTTAGGAACAAGCTGGAGAAGACAACTGAGTCATGTCAGTAAGTCTAAAGTATATCTAACCAAAAAAGCCTGGAGGTCAATAGCAATTAAGAGAGGTTTCACCTCCAGGAGGAAGGAAGCCTCAGATACTGTGAGCAAGATTCTCACACTGCGGGGCTGAAGGCGGGCACTACAGCAGACTGACCCTAAAGCTGCAGGGTGCCCACATCTCTAGCAAAAGAGAACTGTACACACTCAGTATCTTCTCTGAAAAGAACTAATTAAGTAACAAAGACTCAATGCTTGCTGCCAACATTAAGATACCAAAATCAGCATCGGACAAGCCGTATGCTACCACTTGTAGATACAAATACTTCAACTGACTTTAGTCAGTGACTAAAAAGTGTACTTTAGACTAGGCCATGTGGCGCTCAGGGGACTATGTACCAGTGATTCAAGCAGCAAATTTGCTTATTTTTGGAAAGAAAGTAAATCCCAGCTCCAAAACTGTCAGCTCCAAAAACTCAGTCTCAGCTTTAATAATCGGGTTCCTTCCCTTCCATGTAACTGCTGAGCCAAGCTAGGCCCTCCGCAAGCCCTGGTGCCTCCTGTGCTTGCACAGAATGACCGACCTCAGCTGAGCAAACAAGGCGGTTGCTGAACTGCAAACACCAAACTCAGTCCCTCTCAGCTCGCTGCTGGTTCTGAAACAGGGCACAAAACCCAACACCTTATTGCAGCTTCCCAGGTATGCCCAGGTTAAGGTCTCCGATGGATTCTTTTTCCAATTATGACAGTTTCTGCTGAGGTAGGAAATAAAAGGTCACAAAGGGAAACCAAGAGCAGACTCAGCGTACTGACAGAACAAGGAAGTAAAGCTCTTACACGTATTTGGTAAGACAATAGCTCAAAAGGATGCCACCAGCACTACAAGTGTACGAAGCAATAGCAGTGTCATTCCACTTAACCCATGAAATGTAATTCCAGCATCATCTTTAAAACGACAGCATCCTTAAGCTAAAACCCACGCTAGTAATGCACAAGAAAATAAGATCATTCAGTACACTATGCAGCAATCCAGGTTTCTTATTTAGTTAATAAATCCAGGCTGCATTCCAAGCTGGAAAAAAACTTCACAGCAGCAACATTCGCCCCTTTCTCCCCAGCTGACTACAAAGCCAGTGACCGACAGTTCACAGAATTACAGAATTGTTTGGGTTGGAAGGGACCTTTAGAGGCCATCTAGCCCAACCCCCCTGCTCTGGGCAGGGACATCTTCAACTGGACCAGGTTGCTCAGAGCCCCGTCCAACCTGGCCTTGGATGTTCCTAGGGATGGTGCATTTACCCACCTCTCTGGGCAGCCCGTTCCAGTGTTTCACCACCCTCATCGTAAAAAATTTGTTCCTTATATCCAGTCTAAATCTGCCCTATTTTCGTTTAAAACCATTACCCCTTATCCTGTAACAACAGGCCCTGCTAAAAAGTCTGTACCATCTTTCTTATAAGCCTCCCTTAAGTACTGGAAGGCTGGTCCTCGGTCTCTCCACAGCCTTCTCTTCTCCAGGCTGAACAGCCCCAACTCTCTCAGCCTTTCCTCACAAGTGAACAGTTGCTGGAGTACAGCTTTTTGGGGTGAGTGGGTGGTGGTCAGGCTGGGAACGCTCTGAAAAAGAACATCTCCTGGATGGTACCTTGAGATGGGATTGTGTCCTCTGAACAGCACGGCGTTGTTGTCTGGGTGCTGTAGCCGCTGGAGCACTGCAGCGAATCCCGGCTGCTCCTCTGGGTGTCCAGCTGCAGCCCTCTCGTCAGAGCGAGCGCCAGCTCCTCGCAGGCCTCCATCTCCTCACCCTGCTAGTTACACACAGAAAGGAGACTCATTACGTCTGGAAGGGTTAATCAACCTCCACCAACTTTTGGCTGTCTCTCCTCCCAAGCAGAGCTTGTCACCATCGCAACCCAGCAGGATTGTGTTCAACCATTTATTAGGGCTTCAAAGAAACAGGTGCTTCTTTGGATGCCACTGCTCTACAAATGCCGACACCCAGCAGCATGCTCTCTCATGCTCATGCCACTTCCACTGACCACCCCAACACCACACGAGTCCTGCTTGTTGGATAAATACGTGCCAACATGGAGCACGTCAAAAAAGTACTGGCAGGAAGTAGTGCATCCACTTCCTTTGCACCAAATGGCGTCTTCGAAATTCGAGCCTCACCCGTGTGGCAGCCGACACCGTCATGCTCCGAGGTCTCTGGGCCTCCTCTGGGGGCACAGGTGGTCCGCTCTGAGCTCCTCCGTTGAGATCTGGTTCGCGTTTTTCTTTGCGACGTTGCAATGTGTTCACCATTGGTTGATCGTAGGGACCTGGTTTGGCCCAGTCCTAGGGAAACGTGCTTGTTAGTGACAGCTTTTATCAGTAATTGTGCTTCAATTACAAGTAAAACTATGCAAAAGGGCAATTTTAATGAAACAGATTATGTACCAAACTGGATATGCCTTTCTGAGTAAGGCCAGAAATAAATTAATTTTGAGGATATTAAAAATCTTCACTTATAAAACCTGTCTCCTTTATTAAAGGGAATCTATATTTTCTATTCTACCTAAGTGCTCTTATATGAAGATATTTAACATTTTAATACTGTAGTTTTCTCTAAATAAAATTCAGTTGTGTTAAAGCCTCTATTTTCAGAAATTCAAATGCAAAAATCACTGGCACACAGCAGAAAATTCACATAAATGTCCAATCAGTGATGTAACTTCTAGACGAACACAAGTTCTAGTATTATGTGCTGTTACAAGTCTTCAGTTCTGAAAAACTAGGCTTGAACAGATTTTTGATACACATCAGAGGAGCAAGTCACTCCGAGTGATCTCTCAGTTTACTTACTAGCTGAAATCTAGTTGATAATAATGATCTGTACTGAAGAAAGACTAACTTCACTCTGAATGACTGGTGCCAAATTTGAACCAGAAATTCCTCAGGCCACAAGGGCTATATTCACTCAGGGCTCTATTAAGCAAAATCCTGAGTGTGTCCAGAAACCACACGCTGCGCACAAAGAGCAGGATTGATCAGCGACCTGTGCTGGGACGCGATGCAGGGGCAAGCCCAATCCTGAAGAGAGTTTTCCCTCACCAAGACAAGGGGTGCTTCAAAAATAAAATCAGAAGAAACAACTTGTACGTGAGAACGGGCCACGCACCCCACCACCGGCAGTAGCTGTCTGCGAACACGGCTGCACACAGCCTTCTGAGAAGTAATTAATGGCGGGCTAAGACCACACTATAGATTTTTACTGACGTGTCTCAGCCCGAGGTGTGAGAAGCGCAAGGCAGCTGCACTGACAGAAGCCCCTCGTACAGAGAGGTGTTTTGGTTTTATTAAGACATACGAAACTCCGCTTTGCCTGAACAGCTGTGTCTTTGCTGTAAGTATTTTGCTGGAAAATACATTGGCAAAGTGCTTCTAGCATGGACACAGCTAATGATGCTGAAGCCCCAAGACCACTGTGGCCACCCTATGCACATGTCTCAACAGTCTCCGGCTACTGGAGAGAGATTAGGGTAACGAGGTCTCTCAGTTTACATGTATAAGAAGGCTCCATGCATATGCAGTATCATATAACCATCCACAGGCATCTAAGACCTGTGCAGCTACTCTCAACTGCACATCAAGCTTGTGAAGATTAAAGGCAACAGACAAGAGATCTTCTCCCCCTGGTCTGCGGCAGATTCGCCCAGGGCAATCGCCTGGCCGGGACGAGAGTCAAGTCTCTGGCAGAGCAGGGACGTTTCGATGCCAAGGAAGATCCTGCAGATCCAGCTGGAGCAACTGAAAGAATTTCCTGCATTCAGACTTATCCGGTGGTCTCATGCAAGAGAGCAAAACAAGCTGGGTGAGCACTTTCAGTCTGTGGCAGTCAAGCTAGGATAGCTTCTGTCACCACTTAGGTTCACCTGGTGACAGGCGCTGCCTTAAACCACTCCAGCTAGGTCTACAAGAGCTTACCTGCCCCTGGCCAAGGTGGGGGCTGAGCACAGCCACTGCAGTGAGGACATCATGTTGGTCAATGGATGGTTTCACTGAGCCAACTGGATGCCAAGCTTGCACTTCCCTGCTCAAGTGAGCGCTTTGACGGTGCTAAACAAGCTCTCCTCTCGCTGAATAGAGCCCAGAGTGCTTTCACCAATGTTCCAGAGTTAAACTATTCCTTCCTACCTAGGTGCTGTCAGCTTTAATACGTTTTAGGCAGTGCCAGAATAGACAAGGTCATTTAGAAATACCCACTACCAGATTTTAGCTCTCTGATTATCACCATGCAGTGCCCATTCAGAGTGATATTAAACAAGAGCAAATCAATGAGTAATTACATGAATCAAAAGGCAGCAACAACTGCCGCGTGCACGCTGTTGGTATGAGGAGGTGAGGACTGCCACAACAAAAGGAACACAAACCTTCCAGCTAGGGATCTTAGATGATGGTAACATGCCTGGCCCAATGGTGTAATAATGAACGTAGTCTGGAAGGAGGGCTGAGGGAGCCCGAGTCCACGCGCGGGAGACAGGCGGGAAATGAGGGAAAGGACCTGCACCAACTGAAGCTACGGATGGGTCACTTGATAAACTACAGTGATAAAACCCATTAGACAACTGGAAACGAAACAAATAAACAAACAAAAACAGAGAAATTAATATAAACAGAATGAATATGAAAATATACTGCGACTCTGATGTCCTAGGGAGAAAACTTCTGTATCTTAAAACAAAAGAAAGAAAAGTCTTAGCTTTGCTGCAAATAAACAACAGAAAATTGACACAATGCTTAGTTCAGAAATGAGATTGCTTGAAAATTGTTATCTGGTATAACAAATTTCAGACATCAATCTAGCAGTCATTGTCTCCAGGCTGAGCAGCTTTGCCTTCTGTCCACGAAAGCAGCACACTGTGAAAAAGCCTTTGCAATTTAGGCACCCTGCAGACTGCGGACACAGAAACAAAACATTTCCAATACTGGAGGCATTTGCATTGGTGGCGTTTACTCTACATAGCTGGACAGAGAGGAAAAGCCTACAGCCTTCGAACATGACGTGCTCTGGCTGTGTGATGATATGGAAGAAAAAAAAGAAAAAACCAACAGCAAGGATTTACCAGATGAGAATGGAGACCGCTATCACCTCCTCCCCCGATTCAGAATGTATCCCCCGTAGTTTATTCCAACCATCTGTGTTTCGTTTTCCATTTTGTTTTGGTCAAAAGCAAACCCCAATTGCTCAGTGTAATGCTGCCTCATGGGGGAGCGCGGAGAAGCCGCAAACAGTACAGCCTGGGCAAGCTGCTCTCTGTTAGGCAACCAGCTGGGTTTGGGCAGCGTTCCACAATCTCTTTGAGCAGAAAAGGTGGACAATGAGCTTTTCTTAGTAAATGACCTCTGTAAAATGCCCAGTTTGTAGCTTCTCCCTAAAAGCTAGTTTAAAGGTAAGTGGTGCTGTGGTTTATTCAGACAGATTCATTTCTAAGGGAGCGTGCAGCAGTTCCTATTCTCATCTTCACAGAGCGGAATCCTGGCTGCGCCCCGTGCACGTTTTGTTTTTTTTGTTTTGTCCAAATGTTGCTAGGTTTGGATAACGAGCTAGTAGGTTTGTATGTCTTTGAGATGAAGTTTTTCACCTTATCTGTGGAGGCCCAAGCCCCCATGGTGGAGCCTGAGCTGACTGAGGTGGGGGAACTGCACTCGCTCACTGACTGGCAGGTTTCAGAGGCTTCTGAAGAGGCAGAGCTGGACGAATTCTGCAGCGTAAAACAGCACCGCAACGCAGGGAAAGGATACACAAGCCATCAAAAAAAGAAAAAACCAAACACAAACAAACAAACAAAAAAAGACAAAAAGCACATACACAGACACACACACACAGGAGAGAGGGAAGGATGAGAGAAGCAAAGGGTTAGGGTTTTAAAAATCAATTAGAAACTGCTCAAAACCATTGCTAATGTTCAGGAAATCTATGAGAAACAAAACAAGCCGTTTGCTTAATGCGAGAACTTGCCACGCTGCTTAAGAATGAGGGAATCGAGGCAGCGACCTCAACTCCTCATTGCAGTTTCAGCGTCTCAATTCTGTTAACTGTCTCAGAGCAAGTAGCTGAGGAAGCTGAGGGCACCTACGGTCCAAACATGCAATATACTGAGACAACTGATTTATACAGAACAGCAGATCATCAGTACTTGAAAGACAGAAAGTTTAGGTTTCAAACATGGAGCAGCAAACGTCACTTACATTCACAAGTTCTCGGATATTCTGATCTGCAAAAGTGCTTGTGAAAAGCTCACCTGAGTTCAAATATTTTGGAACAGAGAAAGAAGTGATACTTACCAAAACTGGAGGCTTCCAAAGCGCATTATCTGTATGCATGTGCCTCTGCGGGTAGTATGCATACACCAAGAGCACTCTGACTCAAACTTTTCTGCCCAGCAGCCACTATGAAGGTACACGTACTCTGCTGAGTGCATAGGTGGTGGCATGTGCTTGCAACCCGCCTCTCTTAACAGCAGAGAGAGAAAATATCAGGGGCTTGGATGGAGAGCGAAAGAAAATGCAGGATACAGAGCATCCATCAAACACCTCAAACATTTTGCTCCTAGCTAGGAACTTCTCTTCCAATTTTCAGTGCATGCCCTTACGTACATTTGCTGCTGTACGACCTCTACAACAGCATCTCATTCACCTACAGGCAGGCCAGGGTGCATAACCATGTGGACCATTTTACCAACTCCCAATGCTCTTGTACATCTCCCCCTTAAAAGCATCATCCCCCTCAGCGGGGAGGGGGGTGCATGCAGGTCCAGCGAGTGCTTGGAAATGTCAAGAATACTGGCAAAGCCCTCAGGGCAGTACTGAGATCTATTCACTGTCAGGACATTCAATACTACAAGATTAACTCATCCTTTGGTAGTTTAAGACCCGTGAAGCATGTCTATCCAAGGATATCCCCAGCATTTTATTTTATGACAGCAAAAAGAATGCGCTCTTGTATCAAGTTTGTGTAGCAAAGCCTCAGATTTCAAGGAATGACATTTTCAAGAGGAAGGGAAATCTCAGCTGAAGTAAAACTTCATCAGTTAACCTCAGATGAGATCTTGGGGTGAGGCTGCAATAAAAAGACAGCTGGATAAGAGCCACTGTAGAGGAGTAATTACTGCTAACACCCAGAAGCTGTCTCACTGCTCACCAGAAGCTACGTATAAGGAACGTACAGCTAATTGCCTAGGTAAAAGGAGATGTCGTCTCTTGAGTCGGAACACCATCACCACAAGGACTTTCATGAAGACTACCGGGGCTGTTGAGAAGCCAATACGGTATCAGCATCTTGAGCTCATCAGCAAACTGTGCATTTAAGTGAAACTTTGCAAAGGCTGTTAGAAGTTTTTAAAAAGCACGTCATGTGGTGGATTCTTTTACAGAAATAACGCATATCCCATCTTATGCTGACATGAGATCAGATCTGCGGGTGACCTGTCAAATGTGTTTCAGATACAAGCAAGCTCAGATAACAAGGCTTGTATTCAAAGCGCAGTAAGAGCTGAGGTGAACACAAGATCAGAAGAAACTACAACAAATGACAAGTAGCTGTTACGCAGAGAAGTGAAAAGTATGCAGTGGGGTACCCAGTGACGCAGTGGCTTGATGTTTTGTGGCACTTGTCAAATTCTTGCTTTAATGCAACTCCTTTTACAAGAGAAAAACCTCTGAAAATAAGAATACAGACAAACATGAGCTGCAATTGACTCTGCCATCAGACATAACTACAGTACACTAGATGGAGATGAGCCTATTTTTTCTATCCTTAGAGAAAAATACATTATAGAAAATTAGTTTTTACACTAAAACTCCACAGAGTTCTGCCTGACATTCCTGGTTTTGGCTGGGATAGTTCATTTTCCCCCTAGTAGCTGCTGTGTTTTGGATTTAGTATGAGAAGACTGTTGATAACACTGATGTTTTTAGTTGTTCCTAAGAAATCAAGAACCATTTTCAGTTTCCCATGTTCAGCTAACGAGCAGGCGTGCAGGAGCTGGGGGGGAGCACAGCCAGGCAGCCAGCCCAAGCTGACCAGTGGAAATATTCCATACCATGGGCATCATGCGAAATTTATAAAGGGGGGTTGGCCAGGGGGCAGGAACCTCTTTTCCGGGAGTTCAGTTCAACGTTCTTTTTTCTGTGAGTTTGAACTTATTCAGGAGCTCTGCAAAATCTGTGAGTTCCACGACTGCTGCTCAGGGATTGGCTGCAAAATGGTCATCAGGTGGTGAGAAAAATTTTATTGTGTACAGCTTGTTTTGCCTATTCTTTATTGTTATTATTTCCTTTGCTGTCTTATTAAACTGTCTTTATCTCAGCCCACGAGTTTTACCTTTTGTCTGTTCTCCTTCCCTTCCCACTGGGGGGGAAGAGGAAGGGTAAGCGAGCAGCTGTCTGGTGGTTAGTTGCCAGCTGCTGGGTTAAACCACAACACTTAGCAAAATAAACTGTTTGAGAAGCCCCACAAGAACACGCACACTAGTGCTATACTTTGGCCAAGGGAAAAAAAAAAAAAAAAAGAGAGAGAAACATGTAATTTCAGAAAATGCTTTCTGAAACCTCATGCTTATGGCCTGAAAGACTCTCCTGGGTCTGCACACCCTGCACATGGCAGGAGAGGCAGGGAAGGGTCTGAGTTCCAAACACAGTATCCTGACACCTTGTCCTCTGCAGATACCCCGATGGTGACAAGTAAGAATTTGGAGTTTATGTCTCATAGACTACTCCTGTTTACAAGCCAGAAACTTCATGAAATTATGTAAAGTAATGGTAGAAATTGGTCATCAATGAGGTTTATTAGCCACAAAGCTGCATGTAGCAAGCAGATGGAAAAAGGCTAAAAATGCAAATTCTGAAAATGCAAAGAACTGTTCAATTTACTTGGCGTACGGGGAAAAAAAGACTGGAAGTGATGAACTTATTTTTGCAATAAAGTGACTCCAAGGTGAAAGAAAGATGAAAGAAAGACTCTCCCACTAACTCAGCGTGGCCATTTTTAGCAGGCAAAGCTAGACAAAGGATGAACCAAGCTGCCACGGGGAAAACACCTTGGTAGTTCAAGGAAGTGCAAGAGGTGGTGGTAGGGAAACAGGGTCTCCTTGTCTTGAGAAACTTGCATGGCACAGGGAAGGGGAGCCTCTGATCTTCCGAGAAAAGGACTGAAACAGTGAGAAAACGATGGAGAGGGAGGCCAAAGAATACTGAACTACTGAAGGAGAAGTGTAAAGAAAACGTGAGTGGCAGCAGGTCAAAGGCTGCCTGGACCAGACTCCAGAAACAGTCTTGAATGGAGGGACCTGGGTGTGGGAAGCACAGACCACCCTTCACTTCTTAGCAGAAAGCACACGAGGGGCTGAAAACAGAAACTGCACAGTTACTGCTTGGGCAAAAAGTCTCCAGACATTTGAGTGCTTGTTCTCGATGCACACCCACCAGCACACGCACCCTGGGGAGCACACGCACAGGCAAACACCAGGCTGAGCAACTTCTACTCCACATCCCGCAGAGTGAGAAATTTAGCTATCGGATTTTTTCAACGTATTTTAGTCAATTCCTTTTTAAAATCACTGTTTAGTTTGAATCATTTTTTTTTAAATTAGTTCTTTCATTTTAGCTATTTTAATCACGGGAGATTTTTTTTTCCCCCCACAGCTGCGATAACAGCAGCTCTGCTCTGCTCTCAAACCATCTCTTCTGACAAAAAGCTTAAAGTTAACAGTATCAGCAGAAAGCTAAAACTGAGCTCTGCACAGTAACAACCAGTTCCTCAAACATACGTTATACTTATGTAGTTTGGTATCTGGTCTCTCACACATTGTGCCATGGCTTGTTCTTGGACAGTGTCCCGCTGCTTGGTGTGGTGTGTATCAATTCCAGCAAGGATATTAAAAAAAAAAAAAAGCCATATTTTGGGATACTGCACTGTATGATTGTATTTGCCATCTGTTGTCCTACTAACCTATAAAAGGACCACAGTTATCTTGGATTACTTGCATCCTTTGTTTGCTACGTTTTCCATTCAAATACGGTATTGCTTTCTTAACCCCTTCCCTTCCTCAAGCTCTGCATAGCAACTCAAGGTCACCTCCTCAATTTGTCTCACTTCCAGGAACATGTCTCTACTGACTCCTCTCTTCTAGTCAGGGACAAACTGTCGGGAAACTTCACTTAAAAAGGAAGTTTAGCAGAAACAAATACCCAGTGATAATTTACAGATGCATTTCAGTTATTCTGTTTTGTTTTGTTTTGTTTTTGAGGTCTGATTTGGGAGCATTCCTTAATTTACATGGAAAATAGAATAGTTGTAACAATACAATGAGGGTGGTGAAACCCTGGAACGGGTTGCCCAGAGAGGTGGCAGATGCCCCATCCCTGAGAACACTCAAGGCCAGGTTGGACAGGGCTCTGAGCAACCTGGTCCAGTTGAAGATGTCCCTGTGCCCTGCAGGGGGGTTGGGCTAGATGGCCTCTAAAGGTCCCTTCCAACCCAAAGCATTCTGTGATATTTCCCCTATTCTAACTTCAAGCTATTTCAAGCAATGGAGTCTCCTCAAAAGCAGAATCTTTCCAGCTTGCTAAGCTGTAGACGCTGAAGCAACTTCACATTCAGTTTCCCTCTATTTCACTGTTTAGGGAAAGCGATTTCCAGAATATTCTAACAATAAAGACTTAGCGCTTTGCGGTTTGACAGCACATCAACAGCTTTTTTCCTTCTTCTTCTGCTTCTTTCTCTCCCCTTGCTTTCATCCCCACAAAATCGTAAACAGCCTCTAAAATCCAACTGTATAATTGCTTCCCCCATGCGTGTTCACTCCAAGTCCAGTGGATCCTTCTATTATTATCCCCCTAAATAAAACATAAGCAGACCCCAGTTTGTCTATTACACAGGGCAACGTGTAGGTTTAGCAGCACCAGCCATGTTCAATGGCTTTACATGGCCTCAGCACAAGCCACGGGCAATGCTGGCCACAGCTGACCTCAAATCTGGCATTTAGAGAAATTGTTCCCCTCCAGGAAGAGACCTATGGTGCTTTTCCAGCTGTCCAGCTACACTCAAATCTACTTGCTTAATTAAGATTAAAGCATTTTACAGTGACCTTTCCACATGTACAGCTTATCTGTTACAGGCTAACACTTTTACTGCCAGTGATGTTAACAGCAACGCTGCAGAAAACAGATCACACTAAACCAGTATAAAGGCAGAGCCTGACTTTAGAATTGCTCTTTTTCCTATCTGCTATGCAGAGCGTGATAACTGTAAAGACTTACTATTCAGCAACTATAGGCTGAAAAGCAGTCATCATTTTGCCAGCCATCTCTCCTCTAGTATAGTCTGTATCTTGTTTGAATCTCTACTTACTCTGTGTTTGAGATTTCTTTTCCCTCGTCTGTGATTTTGAACAAATTCAGTTTAATTTTCAGTGACGCTTGTCTAAAAGGTAGGTGAGAGCATAAAAGCTTCACATAGCTCATATATTCTTATTCCCACAATACAGGAATTTTATGTAGCCCCCTTCTACTTTTTTTTCTAAATGCGCTATTAAAAGAAAATGGGCTGTGTTGGCCCAGTAGATGCCACAGCAGGTAGCCAGCAAACATCAGCAAAGTGTCCACCTGCGCAAGACACACAGCTTTTAACTTCCTTTGTTGATTCCAGAGCGTGCTTTTCTGCTTTCTCAGTGTCACTACTAGAAACAATGACATCAGTGTTTTAGCAACAGCAGACGGCACCGCTGTTCCTCCCCACCCACCACCGAGCCTCAAAAGCACAATACCACAAGGAAGATTTGTCAGTTGGTTAGAGACACACAACATGAAATAACGCTGTAAATTGAACAGCTTCTCGGTAAGCTCACGATCACAATTATCTGTCAGCACAACACACACAATTTACTTAGTGCTGAACATACAAAGCAAGACACTTAAGCAAAGATGAAGCGGCCAGGCAATGATCTGTTACCTTTTCCTCTGCGTAAAGGTATACAGAACTAGAGACATACAGAGCACATACCTATTTGTTATACCAACACACTACACTTGTCAAGTCAACGCCACACTGCTGCAGCCTTCTAGGCTCATGAACAGCGCAAGTGATGCTTGGATCAGTTTGCAACTTTATGAACAGTTTCTAAACTGAAGTGAAAGCACATGAACTTGGCTGGTGTAAATCAGCAGGACTCCCATCAACTTCCTGGATGTTCTGCCAGCTGATACCGGCTTCTAAGTTCTCCCCTCGGCTTAACAGGGGAACTTGCAAAGAGAGGTGCTGGGTTCTTTCCATGCTAAGGGCAATTGCAAAGTTACATCCTCATCTGCAAACATGGCATCATCATGTAGATTACCGCCCCTTTATGCAGGTGCAGTGGATACTGTGAAAACCAAAGATGATGCTAGCGTGTATAACTGATGTACATATCTTAAAAAGTCAACTTCCTTACCTTGCTACTATTCCAGTTTACTTTATTATTGCTCATTTACTTTTTTGCATTTAACTTAGGTTAGCCATAGCCAATCTAAACAAAACATTCATTTTCTTAGTGTGCACAAAGTTCTTCTGCATGCCATCTATAAAAAAATGCTGATGTGTCCGGACTGGGGACAGTGCAGAAGATGTATTCATTTGAAAAGAAAGCATTTCTATTAAAATTAAAGAGGTAAATATACTAAAAAACTGTTGAGCTTCCCTTGAGAACGTGTTCCAAGCCTAAATGAACCAGTGGTGTTTTGGATGATACCCTGAAAATTTCACTAAGGGTGCTACTTACTAAATGATCTGCAAAAACTAAGCATTTGTGTGCTGTTAAAGGTGGTCTAGGAGTAGCTTAAGTGTGCAGGTGACACTTGGTAACCACTAACACTGAAATTGTTGGCTGCTCGCTGACTGTGAGGATTAAAATTATCATTGCCTACAAAACCATCTACTCCCCAACACACGAAAAGGAGTGCAACTATATTTATTAAAGGACAATCTTCTCCAGTGACCTCAGGGTGTATTAAAAGTGAGTAATACTCAACAACAGGACATTAGGTCCACTTCAGTTTGTAACTAAGATTTATGACGGGATTTAGAATATGAGATGGCAGTTCAGCCTTGTTTAAAAAATATTGCAGTTGCCATGTGATTTGTTAAAAATACCCCCAAACTAGAAAAGAGAATTCAGGTGCTGGAAGATATGGGCCATGGAGGCATGCAAACCTCTGCCTGCAGGTGGCCAGCTAGTTGCTATACGAATAATGCCATGAACAAATAAAGCAGCAACTTCCTTCTGCAGACCAAAAAATGCTCTGGAATGGCTTTGCTTATATTCATAGTGAAATCCTCTTAGTTTGACTGGGTTCAGGACTTTATCATTTATGACTACACAAACACTCAATTCTTTTGAGTTCCATAAAGAATTAAAAATACCTCTCATTTTCATGCAGAAAGCTTATTTCTGCAAGGCACTCAACCAGGAGTCAAAAAGCGCAGCCTATCCACAGAAAGGGACGTCATAAAAACGGCAAAACCAACTTCATATGATACTGCTCATGGCACTTTGAGTATTCCAGGGTCTTTGCAGGGGAGGAATAAAAGTCGTCTCTCTGATGCTGAAGCCACCAGTATCAACACCAAGGCTGTTAGCAGGCTGTTCTGGCACTGATATTTGTCCATCAAACAGTAAACAGCCACCAGATACTCACAACTTGCAATCCGTGCAGGATATTAACAGGTAACCTCAGTGGATAAAGTGAATATTATCCCCTCCTGTAAGGTGGGACTTCTTGATCTTTCTCATCTGTATGTATCTGAAAGTTAGGCATCTATCGTCCCTCCAGGGCCAGAGTGAAAACCAAAGCCCCCGAGAGCGATTCATGCCTTTCTTCAGTGCTAACTGCAAAAGCAGCATAAATCACTCCAGCTAGAGGCCAAACTTTTAGATGGACGAAGTGCAGTGAGACAAACCTCACCCTCAGTGTTTACCCTGACTCCAAGGTACCCCAAAACCACACCAGATCCTTTTTGTGACAGGTGAGCCAAGTTACAGAGTCCAGCTCACGCTCAGGTTTTTGTTCTCATGCTTGCACGTACCTGGTTAGGTGCTTCTGGTGGCATGGGGGATGGCGATTTGGACTGGAAAGCATCCTGGGACATGAATCCAGAATCATGGGAGGACACACTGGACAGCCTCATGGGTGCCTGCTGAGGCAGATTGGAGCTGCGATAGCGATAGTGTGAACTAGGTGAGTGCGAGTGCGAGCCACTGGACCGGGAATCACTACTGTTAACGCTGTTCAGACTGCTGTGAGAGACAAAAGGAACAAAGAAAGGAAAGGGGAGAGGAAAAGACACAAGGGCGGGGTGGGAGAGACCCGTATACAGTACAATTAACATTCCACATGTCTCTAGCAACAGGCAGCATAAACCGGAAAAGAAAAAACATTGACAAATTAATTTTAAATATATATATATGCACATATATATCAGTAAAGAACTGTAAGCAGCTGCAGTATCCCTTGTGACCAGAGAGAAAATGGCATTTTAGCTTGAATTTCACTCAGATGATCAAATTCTGTAACCACTCAGACTTCAAGGTCAGGTTAGGGATGAAGGGATCGCTACATGCCCTCTCTGGCATCTGCACAGCACTTGCACAGAAGACGTCTGCTGACGGCTCTCTCTTATCCCTGACTTACACCTTGCTGCTCTTGCACCGTGGCCAAAATTTTCAATGGGATCTCTAGCAGGGGGTCCAAAGGCATCACAGTTCATCTAGAAGTCTGCCTCCAGCCATGCCGCTGCAGTCAGTCAGCAGGCCAGTGTGTCACACTATTGAAAGCATCACCAAACCCCCATGCTTCAGAGTACCTGGGACAAGTTTCACTCACATGAAGGCTTTCTACCAGAAAAAAAGCATGTGATGGCATACTGGGTGAAGTCAAGCCTCTGGGTATGTAGCTATAGTCAGTAAGAAAGATGATCAGAGAATTAAACACCCCAAATGAAAATCCATGAAAAAAAATTAAAATTGATATTTCAAACAAAGAGATTGATTTTTAATCTCCAGTATCCATGAATGACAGCAACACCATGCCAGCCGCAGCATGGGAGCCTTTGAAGTTTCCTGCTGGGGTGGCTGAGCAGGACTAGCAGGATGCATGGATCTGAGGGCAGCTTCCTACCTTCGTTGGCAGGAGCCCCCTGACTAGCTGAAGAGATGGCTCTGAAGGACACACGCGTGAGGACTGCACCTCCAGCTCACAAACCCCATGTCATGCACAAGAGGCGGAAGTCGGTTTGGAGCAGGTGAAGAGGAGTTCTGCCTTATTTTAACCATACACAACAGTCTGTTGCCATACAGGTTTTACCACACACAAAAAATGAGGCTGATTAGGGACAGATGATGGATTTTTGGGGTTTCTTTTGCCATTTTCTTTTACAGCTTCAGGATATTGCATCTTTAAGCCTGTGCTCATTGCTCTAAATATGCATGTCTTCACATGTATATATAAAAGTACTGGAGTTTTTTTTATATATATCTGCATGCAGAGACAAGTAGGTACACAGAAGAAGTCCTGTTCACTTGCTCTGACATGCTATAGGTAACTTTGCTCATACACAGGGAACCTGTAGTACACTATTCATAAAGCAAACTAAAAGGTAATCATTCGAGAGCAGCTAGAAAGGTGTTGAGCAGAATACACAACAGGATATCTTCCTTTTCAGTAAAAGGAAAGAGTAAATGTAGACACCAGGGTATGGGGGCAACATGCCAATCAACTGTTTTATGAGAGAAAACAGTTTTTATGGAGAAAGCATAGACAGAATCCAGTGTTTCAACATATTTCAAGACAGCATTAGACAGCATTAAACAGTCAAAAAAACTTGTATAAAAAAAGCATTTCCATCTACCAGACTGATAGGGCAATTGCCAAGGATGTTTTTCCTTTTCAAACAGTTTAACTTACTGGTTAGTAACAGCTACTTAGAATAATCTAAAAACATCATCACATGAAAAACAGAAAAGGAAATTATGAATGAACAATCTCAGAGCTTAGATCAGTACAGTCTGCTCTTTGACCTGAAATGGATTCAAGAGAACTGAATCAAAAGCATCTTCAAGTTGTCTTGAGTTCAAAAGTTGTTCAGTCATGCCCATCCTTTTTAATATTCCCAGTCACACACTTAAACGGATAAACACGACGAGGGATTGATTTCATTAAGAGTTGTTATTTAAGATTTAAGTATGCATACAAATCCATACCACAGTCTGAACTTGCCTCCCTTTGCCCCCAAACAGGTTACAATTAAGTATTACCAGTCTACTTACCTGCAAACACTAGATTTTCTGGACATGGTAGTACTGGGAGAGGATGGAGGAGTCTGGTAAGACCAGCTGTAATCAGAACCTTTCAAATCTAAAATTACCTGATGAAAGATAATCAATAGCATCAAGGACGTGGAAAATTTTTTTCCCCTATTAACAGAAAGCATCTGCTTGTCATACAACATTCGTCACCGCTACAAACTTTCAGAGCCAAGTGATCCAGCCTCAGTTCTCTTCCAGAATTACACTGTGTATATTACACAGGAGAGCCAGCTTCATCCTTGGCTTTCCAGACACTACCATACTTCAATACTAGGGCTGCTATCACAGAAGGAAAGTTCAGATTTGAATAGAAAAAATCTTTAAAAAGTAATCTGGAAATTTATTTTACTCATGCTGTAAACTGGATTTGATGTTTGTTTGGGTTTTTTCCCCCTTAAAAAAACTAGTACAGCCTTAGAGTTTAAAAACTATCGCATTTTAAAAAATTAATCAAAAAGGAAAATCCAAACACAGCAGAACTTCCCTCCTTTACACTTCGAGGTCAATGATAAAGTGATTAAGGTATGACACGAAAACTGAGTTCACACAGCACAGCTGGAGAAAAAGGTCCTATTTGGAGTCATTTAGTGACACACATTTTCCTATCCATTTTAAGGACAGCATGGAAAAATGCTCGAATGTTAGACTCCATCAAGCTTTCTAATTCCAGCAATCTTGTGACCACTTAAAGACAGGGATGCTCAAATGCAGGGTGAGGAGATGACACTCATTCCTCATGTAGCCTCAGCACAAGTGGGGCATCTTCATATTCTTCAAAGTGTTACTTCTACCACTTCACACTGGTCTCACCAAATACTTCAGGAGCACTCAGTTGGTACTTCAACATAATTTTTTTAAAAAATTGTTTATGTTAAAAATCACCTGCTGCAGTGAAGTATCTACAAAACATAACATTTAGCCACTAAATGCTAGCACTTATAACACAAAAGGAAAACCGGTACAAGATAAAAATATAAATTATTTGCAGGTGACAAGAGCTAACCTGTTCACTTGAAGATGGCAATTTGTGTGGATCCATGGTGAGACTTTTGAGGTCATCTGATATGGTTTGTAAATGGGTTATTTCTCCTAGCATTGATATTTCTTCTTCCTGAAAAGACAAAAGAGCAAGGCTAATCACAGTTTTTATTTGCTCATCAAGCATTCACTACTTATGAAAGAGGATTGGAAATACTAATTTAGAGTTTTATAACTGCTTTAACATTGCTGTAAGTTCTGAGGCCCAGAAATCCTTTCTCTCATCAATGAGATAAATCTCTTAGCTTCCTTTTTGTGACATCTTCAGAAAGAGAATGTCACCCCCTTTGCTGCATTTGGAAAAGATTTAACTGTTCTACGTACACTCACTAATGTGCCCTAAGGATTGTAACCTTGAGCATGTTGAACAGGTGTTAAACTCATACTTTTTGCTAGCTTTAGGAAACTTTGAGATAAAGGCACTATACAGGTACAGAGCATTAATAGGTGTATGATTCATTCTGGCTCAAGCTACATCAACAGCGAACTCAGATGATTCCTGAACTGTAAGTTACCATAGTAATCCCTTAGCTACCATGGTAATTTCATCCAGGTCCTCAGAGTCTGCAATTCACCTCCTCCCGCTCAGCCATCTCCTCCCTACTTCATTAACTATGTGTTCTGCTGAGACTGATGCCCTTTGCAAACAAGCATTGGGAACATTTTCCCAGTATGCTGGAGACCCTTCAGAAATGCATCGTGCTTGCACAAAGCCACAAACGATTCATCGCCAGGCTTCAGACAACCTGAGATTATGAAAATATACTTAAACCTTTTCAATGAACTGAAAAAGCTGTCATGTAGGAGGAAGAGAGCTGCCAGGAAACTGCACGGAAGCAGCCTGCAATCTGTCAGATAATGTCATTATATACACAGGGGAGGTCTTGAAACATTTATCAGTCCTAGCACTGGAGTAGGAATAAGGAAGATTTATATTAAAATGTGATGTTAAGAAAAAAAAGCAGTGGAAAAAACTGCATTAGCAATGTCTCAGGTCGGTATGCATAGGGAACTCTAGCCTATTTAAGTCTTTGTGCCCATGGTTTTTCCATTAGTAATCTTGAAAGCATTCAGTGTCTTTGGTTGCTGAATACTCCAAATGCCTACAAGAAAAGGCCCGACTCTTGCCACTTCCTAGGCAGAGATGCAGGCTGAATTTCAGCTAGTTTCTACGGCTCTAGACAGTCGTTTCTAAGACATAACAAGCTACTCTTCTTAGAGGCTTTTGGCCACTTATCCAGTCTGTGAATTGTACCGACTTAAAACGGAGAGCTCTTACTATAACAGGTCGAAGCATCGAGATGAAAGTACAAAATCGACCGCGCTCCTCGATCAGAGCTTTTCTGACAGCTTGCTTCTCGGTTTCTTCAAGCAGCAGGTACTTATCATTGACATCTTGTAAAGCACTATCCAACTGGGGCTGAATGTCACCCCGTCCTGTATGCAGGGAACAACGAAGAGTATATTTTGTCAAAACTGTGGATCTCCATAAAGGATGACCTTATTTTCAGCCAGCACGGCTACCAGATTGTGCTTTTGCAATTCAAGTCTCAACCAGCATTTTCCCTTAATGCAAATTCTATCAAGCATTTCATAGCATTATTTTTTCCTTTTGCACAGAACAGAAATCCAGCTCAATTCAAAAGGTTTCAACAAGCCAAAGACAGCATTTTACATCAGGACCTTCTCAAAGTGTCAGCTGTGTAAATCCTTCCCATAATCCTTGCTGAAAATCAACATCTCACTAATTGGGAGGATGTTAATCACTAACCCCAGGTATATTCCTCTTCCTTCCTACTTCTGTGCTTAGCAAGGTCCTAATGACAACTCTGTAGAGTCATTAAAGGACTGACTGAATCTCCTGTAGGAGATGGTATTAGGAATATGTTGCTGATCATTGGACCACTCGATTCAAGTACTCTGCACATGCAACTGCTAAACAGTTTTCTTCGTTCCAAAGTCCAAAAGAAAAAAAAAAAAAGGATCAACATCTCAAATACATATTAATGTCTGGTATTTGTCTATGGAAATAAAAAATTCCAATGTTTTGCAATCAAAAAGCTTCACTGTGTTAATTATAGTCAACTCATAATACCAAAACTTTCTGTGACAGTTAAGTATCTTATTCTGCACAAACTGCTTACTCTGCATCATGCCAAAAATGTGTTCCCCTAGGAATGAAGAGCTGTTGCTTAGCCAGAGTATTACTGAGCCAACAGTGTTGCAGTTGCAAGATGTGCAGTTTACACTCCTAAATATTCTAAAGAACCTCAGTTGTGTAAATTTATCTAAAATCTCCCAGAAACACCATCACATGCAAATTAAGTATCCAGGTACATGTTCATACCACTGTTGCTAAGTACCAGAAAGATAACATTGAAAAAAGGTGGGTGAGGTACAAGCAGCTACCCAAAATCAATTTTTGTGGACAATAACCTTTCTGCATGGAGGATTTAAAGCTATGAACAAGAGGAAAAAAAAAGTCTTGACATGTGTAGTACACAATGCAGATGAACCAAGGCCAGATTTACAAGGGAAAAGCTTTGCCTTCTTCTCATATGTATTCCTTCAATATTCCAGCGCGAGGTGAAGTCATCAGCTCCCCTGCACTAATACAGAACCAGAGCAGCACGACAGAGAGCAGCGATGGAAGCAAACAGAATCCGCTGGCTTAGCGGCATTACAGACTGGATAAATCCAAATCTCCTCTGCACAGAGTTACACATAGCCCAGACAGAACTGCACAGATACCCGCAAGCGGAGCTCTGCGACGGATCCTCGAAGAATCACGCGCAGTGCAACACCAGCACGGCCAGCGCCAAGGCCAGCTGGGTACCAAACTGCAGCAGGATCACCCCGTGTCTGATCCTCTACATCAGGCTGACCTGTGCAGTGTGGTCACAAAACTGCTTTGGAAGTAAGTAACTTTTGAAATAACTGACTCTGAAGTTGCAGCCACCTGCTTTCTCTCGAAATTAGCATCTGCCAGAAACAAGTTATAGCAGAGTTTTGGATAACTCCCTGAAGGTCCTGTGTTCTTTTGTCTGTGATCCTTAGGAGACAAACTGGGCCCTTCTGCTTGAAGACCATTCTGTACATTTCAGGCCCCTTCCCATACTCTCCTTTGCTATCAGATGCAGCCATTAAACATTTTCTATTTCTCTGGAGTTGTTCTTTCAAACTCCTGAAACTGAGCCTTGTATGATTGCTCAGACCCCTCATTTTGAGAGCTGCCTGGAAATTACAACAGGTGAAACACTGTTTAAACCTAGACACCGGCTCACTAGTGTGGATGTACCAAATGCAAAATCTATTAGCTGCAAACTAAATCACACACTCATTAGTTCAGCTCTGATGTAAACGTTCAGCTGCTCCACCATATGATCACGCGCTTAACACAGTAAATCCTTGTTAAATGCACGCGCCTGCGCAGTGAGAAGACACACACATAGAAAGCAATAGGACTCCATTGATAAAGTGGGTTCAGTTATAGTGAATTTTGGTAATTCACATCGACCTCAGAGCACCGCGTCTTGGACCAGAGCAACAGAGCACCCAAAACATGGGGCACAAATAAACCTCATTTACACCTGTGGAACTCACTCAATTTGACCAAGTTATCAGGATAATGTTCAGGATGTGTATTTTAACCCTTTGGCAAAAGCGCGTGTAAAACTGCATCGCTCTTCAACATCCTCTGGACCTCTGCGAAGTTTCCATCGTATTCCTTGAACCGAGCCAGGACACCCAACAGACATACTATCTCCTCACCGTTCCTTCCATGGACCCATTCTTACGCTATGGCTCTTGGGCACCTACGTAGTCAGTGAAAACTGTCCGGGGTATAATTCAGAGCAGGAAACCAGCTTAGGTGAATCAGTTAGATGAGGCTCTGAAGTCAGATGTTTACATGGCATGAATACAGCTCTCTCCTGACGTCTCCTTGCAACTCATCTTTTAGGAGCAGGAAAGCTTTATTAACATCCTTTGAAACCTCCATAATGCAGACATCAATCTATCACACCATTTGAAAACAGGTGTAACTTCCCCCTCCCTGAGTCGCCAGCTGCCTCCCACAGCACTCAGACAGCTCAGGAATTTGAGGAACAAGATAACTGACAACCAGTTTCTTTCACTAAGCAGTGCAGAGCACAGCCCCTCAACAGCACTCATACACCCAGAGGACACCAAGGATGTGATAACCAACTTCCAAACATCTCTGCTCCTCACCCACCTTGGGTCTCTGCTAGTTTGAATCCACTACTTCTCTCAGAAGGGAACATCGACCACTGGAGAGCAATGCAGTTCTTTTCCCCTTTGAATTACGAGGGGAAAGTCACCTGCCTATGGCATCCCTGCCAACTGATCACACTATCTTTGCTGTGGACATGAGGCACGCTTTCATGACAAACATCAGCAACTGATTATTCTCTCCAGCCCACATTCTCTGGTCTTTAGGTTACCCATTTGGAAACGTTTCTAAATCAACACAACTACCTTAATGACAGAAAACAGTTCCAGAACAGTCTCATCATGGAGCAGCTGTAAAAGTGCACCTGGAAGGACACCCTTACGGCAGCTGCAGACAGGTCTGAATGACCCACCAAAGCACTCAGCATTAGAAATGGTCAAAAGCATCAGTTCCAGGCCAGAGACCAATCAAAGGTCTCTGGTCTGGAACCAGACAGACAGAAAGAAACACGATGTAGTGATGGCTCTGCAGAGCACGTCTGGTTGCTCTCGGAAGAATGAGTCAACAATCTGAAAAGTAAGGAGAAATTCAAATCCAGCCCTTCTCAAAGCGGAGCTCTGGTATTGCAGAGAAGAGCAGAAAGGCAGGACCAGAAGTTGTGGACTGACGTGTCCCACAGCATCATGCACCAGCAGCCCTGGGACTTGCGGCTTGACACAGGCTAAGGAACTGGAGAGAGCTGAACTGCTTCTCATCAATATTAACACGAACCCACCACTTCTCCAAGAACAGTCTTATTATGTTACCTTCAGAGCAGGTGCTTCACATCATTACCATGATGTAGAAGAGCTTTAAAGGACCAACATGCATTAAAACCTCAGTTTTACAGTGTTCTGTGTAAACCCCAGCTGAAAGCCTCAAGCAGCTCCTTAAAAAAACATTGTTTGGAAAGAACTTTAGTAAAGGAAACATATTAGGGAGAAGAAAAAAGGTAAATCTAAATTTCAACCTGATTTCATGCCTATGTATTATAAGACAACTTTAACAAAGCTGTCAGCAACAGCAAAGGAGATCAATGCCCTCAGTGCAAGTCTGACTGCTGAAGTTAATGCTGTTATTGAGAAAGTAATGCAGAGAATATTGGTGAAATTATAATTTTCCACATTCTAACCTAAAGAGTGCTCCCTCACACTTCATCCAGGTGTCTGCACAGGACTTGAATATTCAAGATGGACACTTACGAGTGACAGGATTGACACTGTATGAGACAATGCTGAGTACACCTCAGCCCATACAAACCAAAGCAGGCTCCAAGTCCTTCATTCCCAAAGCACCTTCTTCACAAAAGCACACCTGCTTCAGCTGCCAAGATGAACAACCCCTTTAAGTCCTGCACAGGTAAGCCAACAAATAAACTAATACGGATCTAGGCTGAGAAGGGAAGAATTCTGCCTCCGTTTACAGAATGGTGGAAAACATCATTGCTGGGGTTAACTTCAGACCCCTTCAGCAACCAACTGTGCGTCTTTCTGGTGGCTACTGGAGATGTGAATCAGCTGCTAATGTTCAAAAATGTGAAGCTGTCCCTTAAAAGAAAAGTTCCAAGTTACCAAAGGAAACTTCCAGATTGAATTACAAACCAGGAAAACCACAAAGTGTGGTTTCAGAAAAGGGAACAAAGCAGCAGGCACCACGGTGCCCAGCTCCAGGAGCCCAGCTGAGGCACCTTGGCTGAGTCTCCCGATCTAATCAATCCAGGCTTCTCCAAGGGGCAACACCTACATCATCATCATGTCCACAAGGTAAGGTATGCTCGTATCTCTCAAATTCAGAAACACCGCGTTCCATTCACGAGAAGATCTCAGGGCAGCCACTTTAAATTTGCAATACAACTGAAACAGCACTCCGATTTACACAGATTTGAGAGGTGATCAGGCAGCAGGAGACAACTGTGATGCTGATTTCCACCCCTTCCCCAGCATGAAGTTAAACACAGTGATTTCTTATCTGTCGGTGAAGTAAGGTGCATGCGATTTTCAGAAAAAAGGGGGACTTGGATCACAGGTTTACAAGGAACAACACTAAGGACTTTAAGCTCTAGACTTTAAAAGTCATATTAACAATAAGATATTCAATTATTTGAACATCACCTTGATGACACATCTATTCCATTTAACTTCTCTCCCAGCTGTGACGATTTATCAGCCCACGTTAATCCCTTTCTAAAATAAACCAGAGGTTTATC